AATTGTATTTCCACAGGAACGGTTCTTTTACCTCCCTCCCTAGGGGATAGGTTCTAGGGGTTGGGTCATAGAATGAACAGCCAACAGCTTCTATGTGCACCTCAGCTGCTTTTTATGACTTTGGGAAAGTCATGTGGCCCCTTTACCCTTTAGTTTCCCCAGCTGTAAAGTGGACAAAGCCAAATTAGTTTGTGGAGCATTGTATTCCTTGGCTGGCATATGCACTGAAAATCCTATAAGCAATTGAAAGAATTGATCATTTACTGGTATTTCTGTTATATCAGCGGACATTGTGCCTTTTAAGGGAGCAGCACAAATGATAACGAATGATATTTTCTGACCTAAAACAATTGTGCTATCCCATTTTAGGCAAAATTACTAGCTGGAGAACATTTGGAACACGGAGAATAGAGAAACATATTAACAGTAATTACATTTGACTTGGAAGTGATGGATGAATGAATGGGGGATGGCATGCCTCCACCTGCTCTGTAACGGTGGGGAAGGGAGCGAAGCAGTAAATTACTGTAGTCTTGCAGCAGAGAGCATGCATGTGGTGTGTGCTGCCACATCAAAAGCTGGCATGGACGGAGCAGCATTGTAAATTTGCCAGCTGCAGAGTGGAACTGACTCTTGTCACTGCTAAGTGTCTCTAGGTACCAAAGTAGAGACACCATCTATGCTCATCATGGTTGCTCCCATTTACTTGTGGGCTGCAGGAAAAAAAGAAAGAATCAATTCCCTTAGCAGCTGCAGCTGGTACAGAGGCAATGAGATGGGAAGTAACATTGTAGCATTCTTAGCCTGCCCTTTGAAATGGGCAGATAAGAACCTGATGGCTTTTGGAACACTGAAAAATTCAAGGTTCTCCACCTTGGGAGGAAAAACCCACAGCATGCTTACAGGCTCGGCAGTGCTACACTGGCTAGCCCTTTGGATGAAAGGGACTTGGGGGTCATGACTGACCACAAGATGAGCATGAGCCTTCAATGTGATGCTGCCGCTAGTAAAGCAAGCAAAACACTGGCTTGCATCCATAGATGCTTCTCAAGCAAATCTCAGGACATCATTCTCCCCTTGTACTCTGCCTTGGTGAGGCTGCAACTGGAGTACTGTTTTGGACTCCTGTTAGAAAAACAAGATGACCCATGAGAAGCAGGTGACCCTTGAGAAGCATATGATCTTTCCCTAAGCTTAAAGATTGCTTACTGTCAGCAAAAGGCTAACTTGTTCTGTGTATTTTGTAAATCTGTAACAGCAAGCAAAAAAACAAAACCCCAAAGCTAGTGGAAATTCCCCAAAGATGCGCACGCATATATGCCTTATGCCTATGTATACCTATATTTGCATATGTATGACCTGTTAGTGTAAAAGGTGCTACCGAACTCAGATCAGGGGAATTCTGTCAACTAGACACTGAGTAACCCCTCTGCAGAGAAATAAATCATTTTGCCGACACCCCCTCATTCTCTGCCTAATTGATCGTGGCTAGGAACGAGCCCAGAGATGGGATATGACCAGTGTTCCTCGGTGTATGAGCACGCCCTTCGGTGTATGGCTGCTACACAGTAGCTGGCCAATTTCCCCAACACTCCACAATTCAAAAAAGGAAGTGGAGAAGCTTGAGATAATCCAGAGGAGAGCCACATGCATGATAAGAGGTCAGGAAAACAGACCTTATGATGAGAGGCTAAGAGCTATGGGACTCTTCAGCCTGGAAAAGCGCAGGCTCAGAGGTGATCTGGTGGCCACCTATAAGTTCATCAGGGGTGCTTACCAGGATCTGGGGGAACATCTGTTCACCAGAGTGCCCCAAGGGATGATGAGATCAAACGGTCACAAACTCTTCTGTGACCATTTCAGGCTGGAGATAAGGAAGAACTTCTTTACTGTCCAAGCCCCCAAGGTTTGGAATAGACTGCTGCTGGAGGTGGTTCAAGCACCAACCTTGAACGCCTTCAAGAGACATTTGGATGTTTATCTTGCTGGGATCCTATGACTCCTGCTGACTTTCTGCCCTTTGGGCATGGGGCTGGACTCGATGACCATCCGAGGTCCTTTCCAGCCCTAATGTCTATGAGTCTTTGTGGAAGCAGATTAATAGGACTCTTACATCTGTCATTTTATATCTACAGTTTGTCTTTTTATAGAGGCTTCCTATTGTACAGTTATTAGTGCTTTGTACAGTGAGCTTTGTGCTTTGAGTGCATAGCCTGGCCCTAGGGACTGAAAAAAGGCTATGTACTTACCCAAACTAAATGAGTGTTGCTCATATTGGGCATGTCCCCACAAGCGTGCATGTGCATTTTCTGGGGAAAAGTAACTGCAGCTTGTACATGTGCTTCTGCTATTTGTCCCCAGGCATGGCACAGCATGCACACTCTGGCATGCAGCAAATTGTCCTGGGTGGGGTAGGGAAGGCTGGGGCCAGCACCTGCTCTCCCAAGGCAGTAGTGGCAATCTAGGTGTTTGGCTTGGGTGCTGACCCGGCCTACAATAGCTGACAAAAACTCCCTAAGTAGTCCTCCAGCACAAATAGTTGTCCACCTTTGATATAGATGGACCCTGTTGTTGCATAAATTGCTGGTTTTATCCCCTGGAGGCTAGTCCAATTCACCTGTAGAAGAGAGTCACACTTTCAGGCTGGATCCAACTCTATTTTATTGCTTGCAAGCAGGCCGACAGGGGAGCTTGTTGCTCGGATCAGTGTCGACCCTAAACAAAGAGCGCACGTGGCTTTTATTGAGCTAGCATTCTTTTCAGTTGAGGTGTTACATTTTAATTGGTCATTTCAAACCAAAACCTGAGCAACCTATAAGGCATACGTAGTGGGCTATCCTGTACCATGTGGGTGGAAAGTTACAGAATGCAGGGGTTAATACTAAAACAAGGAACAAAGAAACATAGAGAAAAGTGTCTATTTTCGCTACACTGTGAATCTAAGAGTCCAGTCTTTTATTTTTTTTTTATCTTGCGGGTTTTGTCTGCCTCAGTCTTGAGGATGGCTCCTCACTGCTTTGTGGTTTTGTTGTTGCACAGATTGACATGTGAGAATGTGTTCCAGTGTGAAACTGGCATGCCTCTCACCAGACACGGTGCAGTGTCCCACTTCCAGCTGCCTCTTTGAGCTTCTGACCTGTCCTGCATGCAGAGAGATGCAAAAAATATAGCTAGGCGCAATTACAGAAGCACCAGTGTTGTCTTTATTTTGTCATCAGGTAAGAGCAGGGCTGTGACAGCAATACAGAGGAGTAAGAGGGTGCATTGCAGCTAAAAGTTGCTTCTGGGGGGACACTCCCACATGGGGAAATGTGGAGGGGCTTGGAGTGGGTGTAGCCTGGTTTAATCCTTCCTCAGGGCCTGGGTAAGTGCAGCTGAGCTGGCTCCACAGTAGAAGAAACTTGGGGAATTGATTCTTCTGCAGCAAGAGGGAACTGAGGAGGAAATCATGGGGCATCTATACGCATGCTCCAAGGTGGGGTGAGGGTGCTTTAATTAAAGCGCCCACAGTGTCATGTGTATTCAGCATCCCCCACTTCAAAATGGTGGTGGGGGTGCTTTAACTAAAGCATATTTGAGCCATTTTGAAATGTGGGGATACTGAATACCCATGATGCAGAGGCTGCTGGAGCATGCTAATTAGCACGCTTCAGCAGACTTGATTAATCGAGTCTGCTCCAACGCATGCTACTAGTAGTTTGTATAGGCAAGTATGATTCTCGTAGCTAGAACTAGAAATATGTAGTTTGGGTTGTTGGGCTCTGTTCTATGCTAGATTAATTTAGACTAGTGGTCACCAACCAGTGGATCTCGATCCACTGGTAGATCTTGGAGTTGATCTGAGGCTGGGGTGAGGGGCTGAGTGCCTGTGTCCATGCATGCATAGGCCCCAGCCCAGCAGGTCATTTCGTGGTGGGGGGAAGGGGCAGGGGCTAAATTGCATCTCTGGTGAGGGACAGTGCTGCAGAGGCAGGAGCAGGGGTAAGTTGAGTGGGGTCCTGGCTGGGTAGACTTACCTGCTGGGGAGGTGTGCCCCCAAATAATTTTTTCTCCCTCTACTTCAATCTGCCCTCCCCCCCTTCCCTCCCCACAGACTTATGCACTGGGTGGCGAGGGGAAGGGGGTGCTATGGTGGTGGCACACGGTAGATCTTCGGTTGCTTTTAAATGCCAAAGGTGATCTCCTACTTAAGGAGACCACTGTCTTAAACAGATCACTGAAGGACAGAGAGTGAAAAATACCTGTTCCTAAAATCCTTATGGCCTCTTGAAAATTTTTCCCCTCAGTGACTTTTCTTAGCATACCGCTTTTACACAGTGAAGATATTATCTGTTATATGGAAACTCAGCTTTCTGAGTTATGATTGTGAAATGCTTTTGGTTTCTAGGCTGACCCCAGAATCAGTTTCTTTGACCTTTCCCTCCATTTAACAATACCCTTATTTTTTCACACATTTTTTTCGCATCCTTTTGTCATATAAGCATCTTGTTTTTGAAAGGGCAGAATTAAAAAAATAGATCTTTTCTTGTAATAGGTAACAGAATAGCAGCAGGTAGGGAGCCAAGCCTGCCCAATGTTTTGCTCTCCGTGTATCGCTGCAGATTTTACTTTCCATTCCCCTGTAATTAGCAGAACTTGCTCTTACTGTGTTTCTTGTGTATAATGCACATTAATATCCCGCAGCTGGTTTGTTTGGGGGTTTTTTTGTTTGTTTGTTTTTAAGGCAATGGCGCATGTTGTATGTGAGAAAATGTTACCTCCTTATGCAAATTCCATTGCTAGGTTTGAAGAGAATTCTTTTGGAATGTGGCTGCTGTTCAGCACTAATAAGGCTGGTTGGGATCCTTATATTGCGGGATTTCAAGTGATGCTTTGCTTACAGAAGCAAACTTGTATTGTGTTTTTGAGATGGAAGTATGTGGCATCCCCAGTAAGTTGCATCTGTGTCATCTTCCCTTTGTTTTACTTTATACTTTTTTTTTTTATCCCCCCACTCCTAGCCAGCATGGATGGGAAGAAATGCAGCGTGTGGATGTTTTTACCACTTGTGTTCACCCTGTTCACTTCAGCCGGGTTATGGATAGTGTAAGTTACCTTCTGCTGTGTGTGTTAAATTGAGCATTTTTGTGGTGTGGAACACATGTTAATAGAGAGATTTTAATGGGCCTGTCCCTCCCCAGTTATAGAGATGGCTGACACCTTGCAATCTACCTTTTATAGAGGGCAGCTTGCAAGTGTGCCCTCCCAAGACCAGGATGGGGACCAGTTTGTTGCTTAGAAGCTTGTATTTTGGTCCCTGATTCCCACTTGCTCCACAAGAAAAAGCCTTACCAGCCCCTTTTTGATTTGGAGAGATTAAAGGGTCTCCTGATTCGATTCGGATTCAGAGATTCGGCTACCAAATCAGGCCAAATCTCCGCCGAATCAAATCGGGGACTGATGCTTTGCACAGCCGTACTGTCCACGTGCCATGCCATTAGGTCAGTGTCCTACATGCAAGGGTGGTGGCACATGAGTTGGGAGCTGTCTGGAAAAGATAGGAAAAATGTGCAAGCCCCTCCTCCTTTCCTCTCCCCGAAAACCCCCAAAACCACACCCCAAAAACCCTGCCCTTCCCTACAACTTCCCAAAGCACTTCTTTGGCAACTAAAACCCTAATTCAGTAATACACTTAAGCATGGGTTTATGGGCTGTTTTGAATCTGGTCCGAAGTGTTGAGGATTAAAAGCTTGCTCTGTCATGGGTGAAGAAATTGTAATACTGACCATGGAGTTATATTGGCAACTTGCCAAGTGTCTCAGGGAAAGATCTCTTCTGTAGATCTTTAACCAAAGTAAATGTACACAAGATCAAACATTTGTCTGGGCTGGGATCTTCCTGAGAAGACAAACGGGAGCTGCCATTAGTGGGTCCTCATAAGTAATAAGCACTTGTAGTTGATCCATCTCTGTACTCAACCAGAGTGGGGGGTTGTGGGGTATAACTTAAGAACCTGTGAGCTTCCTTGGACAAGCTTTTCCTATCTATGCTTAGCTAGAACCTATGGATTGCATATACTGAATGTTATCCTGAAGTGCCTAAGCACATGCTCAAGAACTTTCTATTTCTAAAATTGGGGCCTGAATGAATTTTAAAGTGAGTGTCTTGGTCTTATTTTTGCATGTGATTTTTTTTTCTTTCTTTTTGTCAGATACTTCATAGCAGTGGAAGATAACAAAATTCTCCCACTAAACCTGCCAGATAGGTAAGAGTTTGCTGGCTTTTTTTTGTTTCTAAATCAGTAATATCTTGCAAACATATTTTCAAAGATGCACAAAAGAGCAAAATCTTTAACTCTGATTCCTTTTTTTATGTCACTTAGGAAACCTGGTTCCAAAAGTCCACCTTACATAAGGTAACTTCCTAGTTAACCCCTCCCTCCCCAGTTAACCATTCTGATGAATGGGTGCTGTTTGTTTATCTCTCTTACCAACTTAGAGTTACAATGACACACTTTATATTTTTGAAGTATCGCAGGTGATGCTCCTCCTGCAAGCTGTGTCTTTAGCCAAGTCATGAATATGGCTGCATTTCTAGGTAGGAACCACATGGAGAATGGTTGTCTTTTCTCTCTCTCTCAATTCACTTCAAAGACTTTTTCGACCATTAGTAAAATCCAGTAAATGTTGCTGTCATAGATGATTTGAAACCCGTTAAAGAGCTGTTGCTAACTGCTAATGAAGGCAGTAATTATTTGTAAAAAGACAGAACAAAACTGGATGCTTTTCAACTTTGTAGTGTCCATTTTATTTTTTTATTATTCCATCCTGGCCTTGAGTCTTTTGGTTGCATGGCGCGTTATTTTGTTGTTGTTTTCTCCAATAACATACTGCATGAGAACATGGTGTATTGAGTTGTTGTATGAGAAAATATTGCTTGTGATTTTGTTTCTCCCCCAACCCTTTTAGTAAAAATCTGAAGGTTCATGGGTTCCCACTAAAATGAGTGTTCAGGAAGGAAACTTCAAATTGACCATGACTGTGAAGTACACTGGAAGGATGCAATATTTGGAAAAAAAAATGCTTGCCACAGAAACTGTAAGCATTTTTTTGGACCCAATATAGACTAAATGAATGGACTGATTTGCTGTTTCTTAGGTGCTCTTCTATCTCTGCTCCACAGGCAATGTACCTACCTAACTTATGGGAGCGCAGCTCATACTTCCACACTTAAGACTTGAGTTGAATTGGGCACTTTAAGCGTTGATTCAATTACATTGTTATATTTTAAGAGCACAGCGTATCCTCCTGAAACTTGAAAAAATTCAGAGTCAGGTTTACACACCAAATAAATTGGCACTGGTTAAGGTATGGAAATAGTGTCAAGGCACTGAAACAACATTGCCCTCCCCACTACTGACATAATGGAGAGGTGTGGAATTTGAGGTCTTCCAAAATCAGTTTTCATAGTTTCTAAGGTCGTAAGGGACCTGAGCTGATCATTTGAGTCCAACCCCCTGCCGTGGCAGGAAAGAGTAATGGGTCAAACGACCCCAGCAAGGTGTTCATCTAGCCTCCCCTTAAAGACCCCCAGGGTAGGAGCCAGCACCACTTCACTTTG